AAAGCAAAGTGGCTGTCCAACGAGGCCTTAGAAATAGCAGAGAAGAGAAGTGAAACAAAATGGAAGGGAGATAGGGAAAATTACAGAAAATTGAATGCTGACTTCCAAAGAATAGCAAGGAGAGACAAGAGGGCCTTCTTAAATGAACAATGCAAAGAAATAGAGGAAAATAATAGAAGGGGCAAAACCAGAGATCTGTTCAAGAAAATTGGAGATATTAAAAGAACACTTTGTGCAGAGATGGACATGATAAAGGGCAAAAATGGTAGGGACCTCACAGAAGCAAAAGACATCAAGAAGAGGTGGCAAGATTACACAGAGGAATTATACCGGAAAGATCTGGATGTCCCGGACAACTCAGTGTGGTTGCTGAACTTGAGTGAGACATCATGGACAGTGAAGTCAAGTGGGCTTTAGAAAGCATGGCTAACAACAAGGCCAGTGGAGGTGATGGCATTCCAGTGGAACCATTTAAAATCTTAAAAGATGACACTGTTAAAGTGCTACACTCAATATGCCAGCAAGTTTGGAAAACTCAGCAGTGGCCAGAGGATTGGAAAAGATCAGTCTACATCCCAGTCCCAAAGAAGGGCAGTGCCAAAGTGACAGAGTTGTAGCGTGCCAGGTGGTGCTAACAAGTAGAATTTCCCAGATTGATGAAGTCACCAAGCAAAGAGACAGTATTGATAGCAGAAAATTATATTAAATCAAGTTTGTTACAAGGTACATACATACAGCTTTGTCCTCGTTCAGTCCAATGGGCATTCACAGTAATATCAACAGAGTTTAGACATAAATCAGTTCAGAGTCCTTGTAAAGCAGTCTAGCAGTCAGAGTCTTCTTCTCCAAGATTCTCAGAAGACATTTTTTAGCTGACAGAGAGAGGTGTGCCCCACCAAATTCTATAACAGGATAGAAATAGGCACTTGACCTTCAGAAAATTTCCTCAGTGCTGTTTTGAAAGCTTCTTTAGAAGAAGGATGTCACCATAAAAATTTATTCTGTGCAGATCTTGAAAGGTAAATTACTTAGGGTTTAGGCTGCCGTTTAGATAAACTAGTAGCTGCCTAGCTCATAATTACCAAAGCTCTCTCTTGCCAGTTTCTGGCCTCCTTCACAGTTTTAAAAATCACGCCTTCATTTTCTCCTTACTCTTTTGCTTTGTACAGTCCATCCTTATACAAGTATACTTCTACTTCAGTTACAGTTAGTCTGGGAACTTCTCCTTAGGAAGGGACTAAAAGGCAAACAGTATGCTGTCATCTCTTTCGCTCAGTCACTGCTCATCCCACCACTCTGTACTTTTCCTCGTGTTTATGTCACCAAGGTTCTTGTTCTCTCCACGTTGCCCTGTTTCTGTGTCTTCATTCCACATAGCTTATTATCATCAACTTCCTGCACCTCCCCATCTCTTCCTCTTGGGAAATCTGCTCAGGGTGTGCTGGTGTCTGGTTGTTCCAGTGCTTGCACTTATGTCTCAGTAAGTTCGTGATAAGATAGGTGGTTAGATATATTTATACTACACAGTTTGATACCATTTTAAACTCTCATGGAGAATCCTGAGAATTGTGACTTGGCTAGATTTCTCCAATTCTCCACAGTAGTTCCTGGGGATGGACTAGGGATCGCTGCTAAGGTACATTGATTATCTCTGCTAAACTACAAATGGATGGAACTTCCATGGAATGGAACCCTAACAGTTTAAATTGTATCTGATTTAACTGTGCAGACACTGTCAGGGCAAGCTGCTATTTTGACCTCCGTTTTTGTTTTACAAATGAGAACTTGTGACAAAAGTGGAAACTACTAAATGACTCTAAAAGCAGCAACTTTTCCCTGTGTTTCAATGTCTTCAAATTGTTTGAAGGTTTATCATTGTGATTAGTTTTCCTGTCTCAGTGAGATGAATCAAGAGTGGAATTGCTTATATTATATCATAGTGTGTGGTTTTTTCTTTCTTTTTCTAAAAGTATATTACCTGTAATTTCTTGCTTCTTTTTGTGGTATTTAAGTTGATATGGTCAAACATGAGGTTGCTATTTTTGGCATATTTTGGTGTCTTATCATCAGAGTGAGGGTAAACTAAGTTTGTTATGTTCTTTTAAATCTTAATGTATGGGTGTGTTTTGTTTGTTTCACAGGTAACAGAGGATAATAAAACATCTCCGCTTGCAACCAACTTACTTCGAAGGATGACATTGAAGAGTCCAGCTTCCAAGCAACTTTTTTATTCATAACAAGTATAGTTTAAATAATAGATTCTTTGTATTCTGCACCTCTATTTCTCTTAAGTTGAAACAGCTCTGAAGGAAACTACAAAGTATTTTGACCGGAATTCTATTGTTTGCTTACATAGGGGTTGCATAACTTGCTGCAGCTAATTATGGCTAATTGGACGTACCAGGATGCATATTAGTTGCACAACTGGGCTTTTGAGCAGGATCACATTCAGTATATATACTGGCACCTCATAAATTAGCTGCAACAAGTTATGTGAACTTTAATAAGATTTTGGCCAGTGAACTTTCAAAATATATTTTTAAAACTTAAAATATTATTAGATTTTATTATTAATTTTTTACTCTCTCTTTTAAATGACAGAAATGTAGTCTGTATATGAAGGCTGAACATTTTTAAGTCACTCCAGATGTGTGGTGACTCTCTGGCAGCATCTCAGTAGAAGCAAAAAAGTTTTTGTTAACATGAGGTGGGTCTGGAGGGGTTTTGCACATCTACAAATCCAAGTGGGACTTGTTGATGGCCAATGAGAAGCTGCTGCAAATTATACTCTTTGCCTTGTGCAGACAGAACTCCACAACATGATTTTGGACAATATTTATAAAAATGTGTGTTATCAAATAATTCAGTTTTGCTTTGCTTTAGTTTTAAGTGACTCTTTTTTTTGGGGGGGTAACTGCTGTTTGCTTGTATTTCTTGGATACAAAGACAGGGGGAATGAATGTCTTTCATGCTAAGTGCACCTTCTTAACCCATTTTAGAAGTCAGCAGGACACTGCCTGCTCAAGCATTATGAGCGGCTGCCTACAAGGGCTATTTACCTTCCTATCTTGTTGCAAACTTTGGACTGTTTGGCTGGAATAAATAAATTCTGTGAGAGTTGCTTAACAGGATACATAAACATAAATGCGTCATGCTCTATTTTATTTGTGTAATTATGCCCCTCATTTAAAGGCACTGTTATAATAATGACAAAACGAGTCTGTTATCTGTATGTAAGGAATACTTCACCATTTCTTTGCTTCTCTAAGGGAAAATGATAGACCTTCACGTCCCAGACAAAGTTGCATATGGAGAAGCTCTTCCATATAGTGAACGGCCTGTTGAGCAGGTTGTGGCAAATTGAAGGAGGTTTTTACATTGGTAAAACTCATGTTTTCTAAACCTAAACATTGTGTAATGTTGAATAATGATGCAAGTTGATGAAAAGTTGTGGTGAAGTATCTCATTTTTTTTAAAGAGGTGTGTTCTGTGGAAGTTGTTTGGCTCATAGCAGTAGCAGGTTTCACACCTTTAAGGATGTTAATGTTAAATCTTGAATGACCCAAGATGCATACGCCCATGTTGGTGCTTCTTGTCTCCTACCCACTGAATACTGGAGACTCCCTTTCCACTGGGGAGACAGAAAAGTTCCTTTTCACATGTCTCCCTCTACTTATACGTCTAAGGAGCAAAGCCACTGTCTTTAAATCACTGTTTATTTGATTTTTTTACATTTTCCATACAAATTTTGTAACAGTTGTAGTTCCCAGAAACCATACATAGACGATAAATATCATGCTATTAAAGTATTAAATTTGTACAAAAATACTTTAGTTTAATACTCATTTGTTTCAAATAAAAATACATATTAAGTGGTTCATGGTCTGGGTTTTGATTTCATTTTGAATGAATTTTCTCTGGCAGTGCTGAAATATAAATAAAACATTTTATGTGTGTGCATGGGGGGGAAGCTTGCTCATATTAAGGAAAACAGCATTAGGGATGTTTTAACAATGCAAATAGATGAGCCAAATTGGTAGTTAAAATGATAGATTAGATACAAAAATTCTACAGTTATAGACAAATCCAGGGTCCTTCCAATCACCAAGTAACATTAATTACTAGGACAATACAGTAAACAAAACCAAGCAGCTGCTGGTGAGCCTAAAAAAGCAACTGGCATTTTATTGCTTTGAATGGGAAACAGGAAAGAATTTGGGAGTGTGTGTGCAAAATGTATTTACAGTTTTAATATTATTTGCCAAAAATGGTAATGGTCAGTGAAAGAGATCCAACAAAGCTATTTGAAGATGATTTGAACCAATGCACAGACAGTTCATTTTAATTCAAAAATCTTTTGTAGCTATACAAGTTGTGTGTGCCCTAAACTGGGCAGCTCATATCGTTTTGCATTAGTATTCCTTTGCTATCGCAATTCAGATTTAAAAAAAAAACACTATTTGAATGTCTGTGATAAAAATTTCTTTTAAAATTTCACTAAAACTTATTTAACTGTTTTAAAATTCAGTAGAAGTCCCAGATACCTAAAAGTGAGAAGTCTATACAGGCTGCAAGACACATCCTCTTCAGTTCACCATTGCATAGGGCATAATGTAACTCCTAATAAAATCATACTACAGCTGGGTCGTAAAACTTTATCCTCTTGCATGTCAGCTTCCTGTGTGCATCTTTGCTAAAATAATTGTAAAACGAAGCCTTCTCCTTCCTTTCCCCCACTTTACATTATAACAGAGGGAGTAACAGTACAGGTCTCTAAAAAGCAACTACTATGATACAGCAGTCCTCTGGATACAGCAGCAATATTTCAAAATTCCTTCATGTAGATACCAGCAGTCTTCAAATATGTTCGAAAAAAAATCAAACCTCATCTTCAAATGATTTCATTTAGGAAGGACTATTTATTTCAATCTAGTGAGAGTTGAAAAGAGCCATCTTTCATTTAAATGTTTCAATCTACTAGGATTAGAGAACAGAGCCATTTTCACCATTTGTTTCTTTTTTCATTTTAAGGTCAGTGTGGAATGGCACGATTCATTGTCATAAAAAAACACGAGCAAAATGAAACTCCATTTGGGAAGCAAGTAGCAAATAATGAGCCTTGGGAAATTAAAAGATTCCTGTGCTTCTCAATGCCACATAATAATTGTGTTTTTCAGTGTAGCAGACATTTCAAAGAGATTTAGCACCATTTAAATGTCTCACACTAATACAGTTTTTGGCTATAAAGTGTTTGTAGGTTCTCGTTTCATCTCTGAACCATTGTTGTGTCCGCTTTGTTGAAGAAAGGCATTGTTTGCATCACTCCACTCTCCTGCTGGGAACGTCTGTTCTGAGCTCATCTTTTGAGAGGCTACTGGATTTCGACTGATAACCAGTTCTAGTTTATTACCAGATTCTGCTATGAGGGGCACAACTAGACAGCAGTCAAAGTCTCTTGTGCGAACATGGTTCACCTGAAAGGTAAAAAAAATCTCTGTTTTAGAGGAAAGAGAAACTTAACAAAGAAAATGGATTTAGTCCTTTAAGTATTCCTTGGCTTTACAACAATGTCTTTCACTTTAGGAAAACAATAATAAACAAACGGAACTGAAGTAGGAAATCTTTTATGAGGATTTATTATATTTAATTGTCCTTTGTTAATGTTTCAAAGCAAAGACTTGTAGTCTGATCCTATGTAAGGCCGCATCTGGAGTACTGCAAACAGTTCTGGTCACTGCACCTCAAAAAAGACATAGTGGAACTGGAAACAGTGCAGAAGAGAGCGACTAAAATGATGACTGGGCTGGGGTGCCTCCCTTATGAGAAAAGGCTACAATGTTTGGGGCTCTTTAGGCTAGAGAAAAGGCGCCTAAGGTGGGACACGATTGAGATGTATAAAATGATGCAGGGGATGGATAAAGTGGATGGAGGGAAGCTCTTTTCCCTCTCACCCAATACAAGAACCAGGGGACATCCACTCAAATTGAGTGTTGGGAGAGTGAGAACAGACAAAAGAAAAATATTTCTTTGCCCAGCGTGTTGTTAGTCTGTGGAACCCCTTGCTACAGTATGTGGTGATGGCATCTGGCCTAGATGCCTTTAAAACAAGATTGGACAGATTTCTGGAGGAAAAGTCCATTACAAGTTACAAGCCATGATGAGGGGTGTACAACCTTCAGGCTTAGAAGAAGGAAGGTACCTCCAAATGCCAGATGCAAGGGAAGGGCATCAAGAGACAGGTATCTAGTTGTCTCGTGTGGTCCCAGAGGCATCTGGTGGGGCCACTGTGAGATACACGGAGCTGGACTAGATGGGCCCTTGGCCTGATCCAGCAGGGCTCTTCTTATGTTTTTATGTTATGTTCTTATGTGTTTCCACAGACGTTACTTCCACTATGCTCAACAGCAGTACATGTCAAGATACTGATCACAGGATTGCAATTATGTAGTGATTAATTAAGTAGCTTCTGCATTCTATTGACTGTCAGGGTTACTGTTCTTTAACTTAACAAAAACCATATGCTGTGTTCAGAGAGTTTTTCTATACAACTTTAATTCACAATAATGCACAATTTTAACACTACCTGTAGTAATCTGTCATATGGCTTCAGACCACCTACATCTGCAGGTCCAGCTGGCCGAATATTTTTAACATACACGCCCTTTTCCAATAAGCCATCTGAGACACTGAACCCAAAGTCCTCCATGTCAGAATCTTTGAATAATGTTACCTGTGGAGGTAGCAAACATTATCATAAGATCTGTTTTAGTAAACAGATAAATAAATAAAAATTAAGAAAACCAGTTTTGCCCTGCCTTTTAATTATTTTGGAGGGTTTTGCCTTTCCTTGTCTTCACCCTCCATGCGTCATATCTTTTAACAAGGCTGTCTTGTACTATTGGCTTGTTTATATTAAGTGTTAACAAAAATTCCTTTTGGCATTGCTAAGTTTCTGAGGAATGGGCAACTAGCCATGCTGCTTTGCCAGGAGATCCTGATCTGTTGTCTGCCCCTCCCCGCCTTAACTGAACTGTGACTCCAGTCCTAACCTCTACAATGTTGTAGCTAAATTGCAGTGTTGTAGCTAAACATTTTGTTAGCAACATCCTCGATGGCTAGGATACATAATCTGGGCATTTTCACCCTTCCCTAAAGATGAAGAAAGGTGAAAATACCCAGATACTGATGGTCTAACAAGAGGCCTGTATGCTTCTCTCTCCCTGCATATATGTGTTTGAGGGATATAAACAGGAATAATGGCACGGTACACTCATTCTCTATGTGTACCCTTCTCATCACAATCCCTTCTGCCTACTAAACTTAATGGGCCTGAAAAGTACAATCTTAAAAGATATAAATGCTATTTTAGGCTGTATTAATGGAAGTATATTCTCAAAATCCCATGAGGTACTAGTCCCCCTCTATTCAGTGCTGGTTAGGCCTCATCTAGAGTACTGTGTTCAATTCTAGACACTACACTTTAAGAAGGATGCCAACAAACTGGAGCAAGTTCAGAGGAGGGCAACAAGGATGATTAGGGGGTTGGAAACCAAGCATTATGGGGAAAGACTGAAAGAACTGGGGATGTTTACTCTAGAGGAAAGAAGACTGAGAGGAGATATTACGTTTCAAATACTTGAAATGCAGTCATACAGAGAATGGGCAGGATCTGTTCTTGTTAATCCCAGAAGGCAGGACACATAATAGTGGGATAAAGCTACATGAAGTCAGATTTATGCTGAATATCAGGAAAAACTGTTATTTATTACACTGTTAGAGCAGTATGATAATGGAACTAATTATCTTGGGAAGTGGTGAGCACTCTAATGCTGGAGGCATTCAAGAGAAAACTGGACAATCATCTCTCAGATCTGCTTTGATTTGGATTCCTGCATTGAGCAGAGGGTTGGACTTGATGAAATACATACTGCAAATAAAATTCATATTGGGCCATGAAGTTCCGTTCCTTCCTCTCCATTTTCTGCTGTGTCTCGATAGCAAGAAATATTTTCAACAGTTTGTACTGTTGTTTCTTGAAAACAATTCTGTATCATCACTATGAAACAGACGAGCATTGTTAAAATGCTGAAGGTTTCTATTACTCAGAGTGCATTCTTTTAACACAGAAATTGATTTCTAGCACAATCAAGTGACTATTAGAAATCCATTAATAAAAAGGAGTATCTCAGTGGGTTCTTTCTAGAGTCAGAGAGAGAGAATAAAAACTTATATGGATTGTCATAGAAGATCCAGGAGCTTAACAGGTCCCTAATATAATAATGAATGGACTTTGCCCCAGATCAAACTTGTTTCTTTTGAAACACATTTTGTATGAGTAAATAGTCACCATTTGTCAGTTTTAATGCTGGGAGAGATGCCTTGCAGAAATGTATATTTGACTCTATTCTCTCCTTCCCCAAGGATATACCATTAGTGGTCTTGCAAACAAGGCCATAAACTGCACCAACATTTAATTCTTAGCAGTTTTCCCCCTACATTACATGCATTGCAAATATTGCTGTCAAAACAATGCACACAAACCTTGTGTAACTCCACAGGAGTTGGTGACATCATTTCTTTTATTTCTTGCTTCATTTTCCGCAGAGCTACAGATTTTCGTCCTACATCCGAAGGCAAGGTATTGCTGCGGGTAGTCTGGCTGTAATGGGGCCTCGATGTGCTTCTTTCCTGGAAGCTAGCCTGTCTTCCTAGATGGCCACGGGGCTGCGGGTTCTCATGGTTCAGACTCATTGTGCTCCCTGACATAATGGTTGCCTACAGTATTAATAAACAGGTTTCTCTAATATGCCATATAGTAAAAGCAGGAGATTAATTTGTAACAAAGGGCAGCATCTTCTATTTTGTTATAATTGCCAAAACACAGTCACTTCAGGGTATAGCATATGGGTGGCGGATAGATGGACAGTTTGACTGAGCATCCTTTGGAAAAAAACACTGGACAAAAGGGCATAAGGTGACTGAAATATTAAAGCCACTATAAATTCTGAGCTGCAACATTAGACCACAGCTGTTATTTCTGGCAGTAGGAAGAATGAAACTAAACTGTAAAAATGTCTACTGACTGATGAAAAAGTCTTTTAAAAAAAATCCTAGCATCTAAAAAATTAGTTTATCCTAAAATATAATAAAAGGTTTACTGAAGTCACTTTTTTTTTAAGATTTCAAGTGAAAAATGTGGGTCAGCAGTACATGCTTCTCTTGAAGAACCTACATCTTTGATCATGAGAGGGCAATACCATAAAATGCTGAATCGTCTCAGGATTCGGGTCCAGAAAAAAAAGCTGGGGGAGAAGAGCCTTTTAGTAGAACAATAAAGTTGTATGAGCATCTTTCAAAATCTGTTACAGTATTCTGGTCCTCACACAATTTGTTTTTTAAAAAAACTGCTGAAGATTTATCTATATGTTATATGACTTTGCATGTAATTTTGACATTGACCTTACATTTTGTGGTCAATGAATCATGTAGTTGTGGCTGATTTTACTTCTTTCAGAAATAATGTATCTTGCTGTAAAAACAAAGATTTTGTAATAGCCACAGATACTAAAATCCCACAGCAGGTTGATAAAATATGACAAATAACTTTCAGTGAGAGTATACCTGTCTGATATACTATCTAATTGTTACAAAAACATTGAGGTTTAGATGAAAACATAGCCAAATTAATGTTCTTCCTGGTGGGAAGAAAGGCGGCTTAATAAAGGAAGAAATGGGAAGAATAACATTCCATATTGGCAAATTGGGGGGAGGGGCGCATGTCGGTTAATGGAATTTCTTTGGTAATTTGACATATCTACATTATGAACCAAAATTGCTAAAAACAAAAGATAATTAAATAGTAGAAGTCTATTAATCCACTATCTTCACCTCAAATTATGAAAACATCTCAGAATTGGGCTTCTTTGCTTCAAGGAATTCTCCATCTTTGCAATTGCTTAGCAATTATATGTTTGAATCCCCAAATATGAAACTGCATTCACATAAAGTGTGCGGTGTTCAGGGAAGGGAGAACACTTGAGTGGAGGAAATTATTTCCTCTTTTATAATATTTACGTTGGTTTCCCAAGAAAACAATTAATGTAAGTGGATAAATTCCTGGCCTTTTCAGATAGGTTAGAAAGAGACTCCGTCACTTCAATCCTAGCCAGGGTGGGGAACCTAGAGACTGATGAATTACTGGTGCTGCCATTCCTCTCCACTAGTGAGGCTGGTGGGAATGTAACACTGAGAGGGACAGTTTCTCCAGCTCTGGTGCAGTGAGGAGCCTTGACTTGGCATAAGTAACTTTCTATGTTCCTAGTATACATAGGAAAGATGAGTGATTAGCTCCTGTTGTTTGGAATTAAATGAAAAATTGGCACTATGGAATTTCAGCTTTTTAAAAAGCATTAAATGGATGTATCCTATGTTTTTAGATTTTGACTTGAGGTATTTAAAATGTAGTTTCTTATCCCTGAGGAATTAAAATAATTAATTCTCTGTTATAATGAAAATTGAGCCGTACTTTGAGAGGGCTACAGACAAGATTAGAGGGATGGGAAATAAGTGTCCCATCTCTACAGTGTAATCTGCACACCTGTTCCCTGCTCACAAGAGATGCTGACAGTTTTGCTAAGTGCCCAGTTAGGTTTTCATTTTAAAAAAAGTCTTCTGTCATCCTTACACTGAAGAATTATCAACCTATGAAAGCATTCATTCTTATCTATATCTCAATCCATCTGCTATGCTCTCCAGAGGAATCCATACAAGAAGGCTGAAGTATCATGTCTTAGACAGGACTCAACCAGAGTGACATGACATTGTTTCCCTAAGTTCCTCTGAATGGCAATTAAACATACACCAGATCTGCATTTGAAGTAAACAGACATGCAGTACAGAAGCCATAAGACTGAGGCTGTGCAATCAAGTGGAGCTGCGTGAGTTTTACCCAGTTATGCCATTCACATTCCTTGTGGTTGCTCAGAGCTTTTGATATGACATAAAATGAAAATGCAGTTCCGCCAGTTTTGCAATGCAAGGAATTTAAAAGAACATAAAAGAAAATCCTTGAAGACTCACCCTTCTGAGGCATTAAAAGTCAGTATATTCATATTTGCTATTATTTAGGAACATACAGGCAACTTTAAACCAAGAGATGTCTATTTACTCCATTTTTGAAGTAAACCTCTCACTGTGAAGTTAATGTGAAATTCATAGGTGTATTACCATCAGGTTGCAATGTGAAAGAAAAAAAAAGCAATTGCATACACAGATCTTTTTGAAGTCGCTTCACCAGGTGAATCCAGTGTTGAAAGAAAACATGTAGAACTTTGTTTTTCGTTTATGTTCCCCTTAATTCAGATTTGGTTCTGTTGCAAGAGATACATGCCAGGAAAACCTTTCATAAAAGCAGCTGGAGGACAATGGGATGTACTGCTGTGAAGGCAAAATAAGCCTACAAACAGGTGCAGCCAGCGGTAGCACAGGGTAAGCTTTTCAGCACACAGCTGTACCATTTCAGTAGCAGCTCCACAAAAAGAAAACAGAGCTTGATTATGGGGCGTTGGGAAGGCAGCTGCACAAGCAAAAATACAAACAATAAAGGGTAGGTACCAAGAGAGTCATGTTTCTCAAACACAGACAAAAAGAAAACAGAGCTTGATTATGGGGCTGGGGTTGGGAAGGCAGCTGCACAAACAAAAATACAAACAATAAAGGGTAGGTACCAAGAGAGTCATGGTTCTCAAACACAGACGCCTGTCAGCCTTGTCCTGTGGAAAGGGGGGTTAAAGCTTTAAAATGATTTTGTGAGGTTAATGCAAACTAATAAAGGGAGGGAGGGAAACAGTAAATAAATGAGTGTTAATTGAAAAAAAAACCACGATTTATGACAGGATTAAGATTGTTTCTACCTCTAATTCCCTCAGAATTCCTGACTGTCCGCAGGTCTCCAAGTCCTCCAGTGCTTGAGACCAGAAATTTTCTTCATGGTCAGTCTCAGGGGCACCTGCAAAACTAGATTTATAGAAGGGGAGAGAGTTTGGTTAAAGGCAAAGCAACAGGGCAGTGAACATCACAGGAATGCTTTAAACATACAAATCATAATGACACCAGGAGACTGTAAAGAACGACTGTGGCCAAAGGTAGAGTGGAACCAAGAGAGGCTATAGCTGGGGCACATGCATGATTGCTAAGGCGCGGGGTTTGTGGATCAGCTGAACTTCATCGGGCCTTCAGATTATTTTTAAAGCCCTTGTACTGAAAACAAACAACCTATGGATGTATTCAGCAGTAAAATATTTGCACTTTTATGGAATGAAAGGTCCAGTGATTAACCATGTCAACTGTATAGGTAAGAAATATAATAGCAGAGCTTAAAAAAAAACACAAACATTAACCTATAATTATCAGTTCTCTCCAAAATCAGTTTTGGTCCTCTTGTCTCATCTTTCTGTCCTGGTCTGCATTTCTCACAGCTGCCTTAATGGACAGTTCACCCTCAGAAACTGCTACAAACTGAAGTCACAAGTACTGTACAGGCGTGTTTGTGAGGGAAAGGGCAGATCATCATTCAAGTTTATTAAATTGGAAGAAATCTTGCATCTTCTATTGTTATAATAACTGATGCCAACAGAAATAGCCATTCTACACTTAAAGCATGCTGAATACCCCATAATTCCTCCTTAACCACCAGTTGTTTGTTCAAGCATGCCTGAGAAGCCGTCATTTTTTTCCTGTTCCTTTCATCAATATTGATGGATGTTAGTCAGAACCTTATTTTTGTGCCACATTCTTTCTAACAATTCTCTTCCGACCAGTTAATGACTTGAGAAAACATGGGCCACAGAGAAATGTACCTACTGCATGTCCGATAACTAATTCCTAAGGATCCTGTAGATTCCCATTTCAACTGCACATTCTGGGCAAGGTTTTCTTTGCACATCAGGAAGACATCCATCAGACAGCAATTCCCACTTGCAGCATTTTAAAGAGGGATCTGACTGTCTGTTTACCTACCTAGAATTATTGCCTTCAGCTTGTGTAGTTCAAATTCTCCTTTTGCTTCCTCATGGCTTGGGTTGGCCGGGGATATCCTTTCTGTTTGCCAAGGTAGAGGCCTGACACACCTTGTTGGCGCTGCTGCTGGGTTAGCACCCCGACTGGGCTTGGAATGTTGGTGCTGATTCTTGGTACTTAAAAGGGAAGTGTTTGCAGGAAATGGGGGATGAAAAGACTAAAGGCTCCCTGGCTATGGGAGATGAAACAGAGCTTAGCTGCTTGTTGGGCTACATTCTAAATGGCAGCACCTGAGAACATCTTTTGCCAAGTTTACCTTTCTGTCTATTGGGGGAATAATGATTGACATTTAAGGAATAACACGAGAAAGGCAGGATCCAACTCAAGACTTGCTGATGCTATTGTTAGCCTCTGCTTTTCTTCTTGGCTACTATTCATTTAAGCCAGTATTCATTTAGCAAGCAAATTGGGGAGGCCTTTTGGAATCAACTGCAGGAACAGTTGGCTGGGTTTAAGTACTCTTTGCCCAGAGTTTGGATCAGATTCAGTTCCAATTTTCTTTCTGAGCAGAGACAAACAAAGGAATGTTTCTTTAGACTGGTTGCTGTTGTTCTTCTGTTGAAATTGACTTGTAGTGATCTTAATAGGGCTTTAAAGGGTGAATGAGGTATTTAAGGACCTTTACCAGGTTATAAGTAAAATAAGCAGGGAGACAATATAATAAATAATAAATAAATAGTATTTAAGGACCTCCCCCTTCACAGATTGCTGCCTTGTCATGGCGAAGGGGGTTGAGTAATTCAGAGAAGCTATGGGCTATGGCCGTGAAGGGACACCCAGACGGACAGGTCATACTGGAGAGTTCTGACTAAACACGATCCACCTAGTGCAGGAACTTGCAAGCCACTCCAGTATCTTTACCAAAAAAACTCCATGGACAGAAACAAAAGGCAAAAAGATATGACACTGGAAGATGAGTCCCTCAGGTTGGTAGGTGTCCAGCATGCTACAGAGGAAGAGTGGAAGACAAGTAAAAGTAGCTCCAGAGCTAATGAAGTGGTTGGGCTAAAGCCGAAAGGACGCTCAGCTGCGGACGTGCCTGGAAGTGAAAGGAAAGTCTGATGCTGCAAAGAAAAAAAATGCATAGGAACCTGGAATGTAAGATCTATGAACCTTGGTAAGCTGGATGTGGTGAAAGAGGAGATGACAAGAATAATCAGTAACATCCTGGGTGTCAGATATCTGTTCAAGAAAATTGGAGATATCAAAGGAACATTTTTTGCAGAGATGGACATGATAAAGGACAAAAATGGTTGGGGCCTTACAGAAGCAGAAGACATCAAGAAGAGGTGGCAAGAATACACAGAGGCATTATACCAGAAAGATCTGGATATCCTGGACAACCCAGTTAGTGTAGTTGCTGACCTTGAGCCAGACATTCTGGAGAGTGAAGTTAAGTTAGAAAGCATGGCTAACAACAAGGCCTGTGGAGGTGATGGCATTCCAGTGGAACTATTCAAAATCTTAAAAGATGATGCTGTTAAGGTGCTATACTCAATATGCCAGCAAGTTTGGAAAACTCAGCAGTGGCCAGAGGATTGGAAAGGATCAGTCTACATCCCAATCCCAAAGAAGGGCAGTGCCAAAGAATGCTCCAACTACCGTACAATTGCACTCATTTTTCACGCTAACAAGGTTATGTTCAAAATCCTACAAGGTAGGCTTCAGCATTATGTTCACTGAGAACTCCCAGAAGTGCAAGCTGGATTTCGAAGGGGCAGAGGAACTCGAGACCAAATTGCTAACATGCGCTGGATTATGGAGAAAGCCAGAGAGTTCCAGAAAAACATCTACTTCTGCTTCATTGACTACGCAAAAGCCTTTGACTGTGTGGACCACAGCAAACTATGGCAAGTTCTTAAAGCAATGGGAGTGACTGACCACCTTTTCTGTCTCCTGATAAATCTATATCTGGGAGAGGAAGCAACAGTTAGAACTGGATATGGAACAATGGATTGGTTCAAAATTGGGAAAGGAGTACGACAAGGCTGTATATTGTCTCCCTGCTTATTTTACTTATATGCAGAATACATCATGCAAAAGGCTGGACTGGAGGAATCCCAAGACATAATTAAGATTGCTGGATGAAATATCAGCAGTCTCAGATATGCAGATGATACCACTCTGCTGAAAGTGAGGAAGAAGTAAAGAACCTCTTAACGAGGGCGAAAGAGGAGAGTGCAAACAATGGTCTGAAGCTCAACATCAAAAAACTAAGATCATGGCCACTGGCCCCATCACCTCCTGACAAATAGAAGGGGAAAATATGAAGGCAGTGACAGGTTTTTCCTTCTTGGGCTCCATGAATACTGCAGTTGGTGACAGCTCCCACGAAATTGCCAATGAAGGTCCGCATAGTCAAAGCTATGGTTTTTCCAGTAGTGATGTATGGAAGTGAGAGGTGGACCATAAAGAAGGCTGACTGCCAAAGAATTGATGCTTTTGAACTGTGGTGCTGGAGGAGGCTCTTCAGATTCCCCAGGACTGCAAGGAGAATAAACCTATTTGTTTTGAAGGAAATCAACCCTGAGTGCTCACTGGAAGGACAGATCCTGAAGCTGAGGCTCCAATACTTTGGCCATCTCATGAGAAGTCTCCTTGGAAAAGACCCTGATGTTGGGAAAGTGTGAGGGCAAGAGGAGAAGGGGACGACAGAGGACGAGATGGTTAGACAGTGTCACCGAAGCTACCAACATGAATTTGACCCAACTCCGGGAGGCAGTGGAAGATAGGAGGGCCTGGCATGCTCTGGTCCATGGGGTCATGAAGAGTCGGACATGACTTTACAACTAAACAACAACAAACCAGGTCCTTTCTCCCAATGAGTTTCCATGGCTGAGCAGGGATTTGAATCATGGTCTCCAAAGTCCTAGTCCATCACTTTGTCCACCACACTGGGTACTCTTTAGACTTACAATGAACCAATAACTAAAATATGATAAAAACTGTATAACAGGCTGATTCCCATGAGGACACTAGATGAGTGGCACTGTAGACAATATTTGGGAATATTATATTTGATTTTAAGAAACACCCCAAAGTGGACAGGGATTCTTCAGCTAGCTTGTTATCACTCTTAGCACTGCCATGCAGTCATCAGGTTACTGACTGGACAGTAGATCAGTGGACAAATGATCAATAATAATGTCTCATTGAAAGTTTAAAAACTAAATCTTTCAGGGCTAGCAGTGTCAATAGATGCCTAAAACCACTGCAAGAGAACTAGAAATTCACACCATATAATTTCTGTTACTTTGGTACAACTATGTCTGACGGCAGTAACTCATATGTGCTTTGAAATGGGCATGCCCTATTCATACAGAAACTATAAGATGAGGTGCACATTAAACAGTCAAAGGGGAGATCAGGTGTGGAGTGTTAAAATGTGTCCTCCTCTGATAGTTTTCCTCTCAGGCTCACTTTCCAATTATGTGGGAAGTGACCTTGATTGGAAAGAAAAGTCTTTGGCAGAAGCAGCTGGTAGATTAAAATGTATTGGGTAAGGAGCAACACAAAAATTTGTTGGGTAATACAGCACTTCCATCCACGTGCCCCTTTAAAGCATACCCACCCCAAGTGCCCATTTTATCCACAAATGCATTTAAAGATAAGGTGTGCTCTGGACCAACCATACTCTGCACTTTTCACTTATTTCACACACACAAAAGAAATCATAACATGAATATATTATGTCTCCTCTAAAAACAAGTTGTGCATATTTCTTCAAAGTGATGCTTCTGGGATGATAACAATAATGCTGGAAACAAGTTCTCTAAAGCTGGGGCAACTTGTGATATGCTGTTGGACCACCAATTCCCAGGATTCTTCACCACTGGCTATAGTGGCTGCGGTTACCAGGACAGGGCTGGGAGTCGCAGTATAACATCTGGAGGGCCATGAGTTGCCAACTCCTGCTCTACAGAATCACCAAGATTTGAAAATATTGGCATCTTTTCCAACATGGGATTGTTGTCCCCTTAAGAGAGGTTCAGCGCTGATGTTTTAAGTGGCCACATCATCTGCTTATCTCATGTGCTCTTCCTTCTTCAGACACTCCAAGGCATCATTGCCACTAGCTGTTGGAGATGTTGCAGTTGAACCACATCAGTCACATCAACTTTGATGAAGATATGAATGATATGTAAGAAACAGTACTGTATTATGTTATGGGAGAATTAAAACGAATCACTCTTACAATATCTGAATGGGGACTGTGGAAAGGAAACAGCCATTTTCACTTTAATTTTTGCATTAATATTGAGCCAATGATCTATCTTTTTATGCATAGAAATTCATCAAGTGCAGAGGTCTTGCTCTTAACATCATAACATTTCATGTATGTCACTAATCTAATAAATCTCATGCAGCATGGACTGTAAACGTGGAATATCGCTGTAGTTAGAGGACAAACTGATCGGTCCGCTAAACTTCACACAAGAGGTATATGTAAGAATGAACTTTGTAGGTGTATGTTTGGTTTGATGATGATGATGATGTTCATCTGTTTTTCCTCCCATGAGATAAAGGGATCTTACATGCCTCTTCTCTCCCCACATTATCAGGATGAGAGACAATGACTGGTCCCAGGTCACCTGGTGCAAGTGGGGAGTTGAACCCAGGTCTCCTGAGCTGTACACTGATACTCTGACCATTACACCATAATGCCTCTCAAACTGGCCACTGCAAACATAAAAATGGGTATGTGCTGCAGAATACTACCTGCTTGTGACTGGTTTATCCCACTCGTCATCACTGAGGCCTGTATCATGGAAGGGGTTGGTTCGGGGCCTGTTGGGAGGGGATAAGCTGCCCCTCTGTTTTGGACTCCTCCATTCAAAGGTGTTGAAGTTGTATCCTGAAGCCTGATAATTGGTGCCTAAAAGATAAATCATATATATATGATTTTTAAAAATTCAAAATAAGGAAGAATTATACTAGCCTATCTAGCACTTCCAATATGCAATGGGTTGGATCCAGAGCAATGCCGACACTGGAAGAGGAGCAGGGAGATGATCTCTCCTCCTCCTGTGCCTTCTGGAAAGTTGCCCCTCCCCAGGCAGCAGCTGAAGTGAAGAGGACAGTGGTTTGCAACCTTTGGCGTCTTATATCCCACTCCAGCAAACAACCTGTGTCCAGCCCAGATGGAAACAAAAAGCCAAGAAGGACAATTTTACAAAAAGATGTTTATACTGTTACAGGAATTTTGCTATTTCATTTATGAATTAGAGTCAGTTTTAAGGACATTAAAAACTGTAGCAATACTGTTGTGAGCAGTAGCAGCTTGTCAGTGAGACAGAGGGGTGCTCCCTATCTGTTAGTTGCTCCTGTGGGCGTAAATACAAATAAACAAAATTAATAATTTAATTAGTAGTTGAAATTTCCAATAATACTGGCGAATGTAAATTTTAATGCTCTGGTAACTACAAAACAGAAAGACTACAATATCCATAGTAACCGTCTCACTAGGACTAAATGTACCTCTGTGGAGAACTGCTGGCAGCAGGAACCGATGCCTATTGCTTCCTGCCTCTGATGGACAGCCTTTGCTGGATCCTTTTGCCTTCCCTATGCAACAATTCTATGTATGTCAACTCAAAAGGAAGCCATATTGAATTCAATGGGACTCAGTAGAAAATAAATGCACATTAAAACTGTAAGCTTGAGGCTTGTTATTACATTGGTTTTTTCAGCAGTTAACATGATATTTTTTCCAGCAGCAAACTAAAACAGTAGTCCAGGATTATGTGTTAAGTTGGCGATTGAGCTCCAGTTTTGAATCCCATGCCCTACTGTGTTATCAACTGATTCTCAAATATGTAGTTCACCTTGGACTACCAGATGGTGAAAAATGTTGTTGCTGATGATTTGTGTCAAACATGATCAGAATATTAAATTATTCAAATCGTGTTTTCAAGTAATTATGCAACCAGAAGTCCTCATGGAATGAAGTAAAATTCACTTCTAAATTCATTATGGAACTAATGAATGAGGCATACCCTGCAAATTTATTTTCCTCTGTACAAGTTCTCATTTTCACTTCAGCAATTCATGGGCTATAAAATGCAGGCCATATTGTTCAACACTTCAGCACATCCATTCCTGTTGGTCAACACCAGGATACAGAATCAAAATGCTTTGGATTAATTGCCCTGATAGTCTTCACTGTTTCAGTAAAACCAAAGCTTGCAGGATGGAGCATTAGGAGATACTTCAAATGACAGCTATTGCCAACTGCTTCTACATACTACTTACTACTACCTGCTTTGCGACAGAAATGCAAGGTCACAGAGAAGCAAGCCGTTTCTCAAGTGGTAGCTATGTTAATCTGTGTAAGCATATCATAGTTGTATTTACAACTACAGTACTTAATGGTCAAATTCATGTTGCGTAAAATTATGTCAACATGGCACTGGAATAAATTAATACAAACAAATACAATCTAATTTAAAATTAATACAAACTAATTTAAAAATTCCTACCCCCCCCATGTTCTAAGTATTCCCAGGGCTTTGGAAGACCTTTGGAACCCTCAGCATAGGTGGGGTGCAGCCTTTAATAGTAAAACACAACGACCAGAGAGGTGGGACACAAATAAATAAATAAATAAATAAATAAATAAATAAATAAAAACACAACGACCAGAGAGGTGGGACACAAATAAATAAATAAATAAATAAATAAATAAATAAATAAATAAATAAATAAATAAATAAAACAAAAACCCAAAACAAAACAAAAACACAAATTCACCTCTCTCAAGATTGAAACTAGATCACCTCTGCCAAGATTGGAACTGCACGTGGCGATCTGGCCATGATTTTCAACTATTACAGGCTTCTCCAGTCCATCTCAAGGTTGCTAAAAGGGCCCCAATTCATGTTGATGTAAATTTCTGCAAAAGGATTTTGCACACTGTGTGGTTGTAAATATGACATGTTTTTCAGCATCCTTGCATTTCTGTTCCAAAAAGCAAGAAATATCAGCGGGATTCAGGAAGCAAGGGAAACATTCAGTATCTTTCTTGAACCCAAAGGGTCCCAGGTAAGGGATGATTTACTGAAGACCCTGTTAGTAAAACCAAGAGACAACTTGAGCATTTTACAGATGAACACATTTTGTGCAAGAAACACATCTGTGAGTTAAAACCCACTTCGCCAGAGGCATGTGATAATTCCCCAGAGATGAGGAATATTACTTTTTTGAACCTTATCTCCCAGATTCCCACAGGAAGCATGGCCACGGCCCATGTGGACTGGGTATTCGGGAAGTTGTCATCCAAACACATAATTTTTCTACTTTACTCATGAATAAAATGCAAATAACAATATTGTAGATGTTGTGGGATTTAGGTGCCACAGGATTTCCTTTGTCCTTTACTATCACTTCAATTGCTTTACTTGTTTGCAATCATTGCAGGTTAACTCCAGCATTCAATAATGAGGGGTAGCCAGACTTGGACATAGGAGTGATTGCAGTGTCTTCTGCAAGAACCTGACAGGCTTCTCTGACCCAATGAAACATGATTTATTTATTTCTGCATTAGTGGCTACAGTTATCAGGAGTCTCATCCCTGTTCTTTCTTTTACAGCTGTTCGGGGCAGGAGAAAACAAAAACTGCTTATAGTTTGCTCCTGCCCATTATATAATTCATGATCCTTGTTGTTGTTTGGTCGTTAAGTTGTGTCCGAGTCTTCTCTTCTCATGAGATGGCCAAAGTATTGGAGCCTCAGCTTCAGGATCTGACCTTCCAGTGAACACTCAGGGTTTATTTCCTTCAGAACAAATAGGTGTATTCTCCTTGCAGTCCAGGGGACTCTCAAGAGTCTCCTCCAGCACCACAATTCAAAAGCATCAATTCTTCAGTGGTCAGCCTTCTTTATGGTCCACCTCTCACTTCCATACATCGCTACTGGAAAAACCATAGCTTTGACTATGTGGACCTTTATCGGCAAGGTGATGTCTCTGCTTTTTAAGATGCTGTCTAGGTTTGTCATTGCTTTTCTCCCAAGAAACAGGCGTCTTTTAATTTCATGGCTGCTGTCACCATCTGCAGTGATCACAGAGCCCTAGAAAGTAAAATCTGTCACTGCCTCCATATCTTCCCCTTCTATTTGCCAGGAGGTGATGGGTTAGGGTTAGGGTAGCCATACCAGTAGCCATGTTCTTAGTTTTTTTGATGTTGAGCTTCAGACCATTTTTGCACTCTCCTCATTCACCCTCATTAAGAAGTTCTTTAATTCCTCCTCACTTTCTGCCATCAGAGTGGTATAATCTGCATATCTGAGGTTGTTGACATTTCTTCCGGCAATTTTAATTCCGGCTTGGGATTCCTCCAGTCCAGCCTTTTGCATGATGTATTCTGCGTATAAGTTAAATAAGCAAGAAGACAGTATACAGCCTTGTCGTACTCCTTTCCCAATTTTGAACCAATCAGTTGTTCCATATCCATATATGATCCTACACTTGTACAATTCCATTCCGTTTCCATTATTCTGGACTGCACCTTGCAGTTCTCTTGACTGAAGCCACAATGTGTGTTTGTTGCAGGGATGCGTTGCTGTCCATTCCTTGAGACCTCACAGTCTAGGACTACTTTCATCTTAGAAAATATTTGGAGTTCGATATTTCTTTCAGAGAGGTGAACAAATGGGCCTGTGGGGAAGCTGTGTTTGATTCATGGGCTGTTTACTGTCACACAGCCTAAATGATAGCCACATGCTGAGATTTGCCTTCATCAGGAGAGATAGGGAATGACAGACGAAAGGTGACTTCAGGCACACAAATCAAAACAAACCCAAATCACCACCCTTCAAAAGTAAGTAAAAACAATGTTGTGTATTTGCAGATTTAAAGGTGAAAAAATGCTGTCAAAGGCAAGATTAACTATAATAAATGCAATCAAAATGAAACCTCTATATACATTTGCCCACAGCCTGGGGATTTGTCCAGAAATACAATTAGACCTCCAGCGTGACAGAGACTGCTTCATTCTATTACTGCTTTCGTGAATGACGGCTCTATCTACACATTTTAAACTTGAGAGAAAATAACAGTGTGTGGAATTATATATTTTGTCTCTCTAGCCATTCTAAGGAGATATAAGAATCTATAACTGATTTTGACATCTTTTATTTCTTAAATGGATAAGATCAAAGAGATTTTACATGAATATAGAAAACAAAACAGCAGTTGTCATTTAAATGTCAAGATACGTAATAAATTAAATATCAGCACTGAAAATGAAACACTAGTCTTCATGAGTGCCAAAAACAGAGAGAAATCTTCTATTTGCACCCTAGCTGATCTTTCTACTTCCACAGAAAAGAAGTACCCAAAAGCCCACTGTTCGTCCTATCATGGAAATGATAGGTGATTTAAATTAGTGATTACAGTGGGTCTGTTTTTGAGTAAGACTAAGGATGGATTTGGCCCTGAGGATGGTGTCACGTAGTTCCCTGTTTCTCCATGAAAGCAAAATACCTTGTTCTGTAAGAATATACGAGATTTCTGCTGACTGAACCATATAGTCCAGAATTCTGATTCACAGTGTTCAATCAAAAGCCTTCCAGAAGGCCAGAAGAAAGGCATGCACATGTGTCCATGAGTGCACACACACATACGGACAGCCTATTCCCATTATTTAACTTATAATATGCTTTATTAAACAATGCTGCGGAGCTAGACTCTTTCCTGAGCTGCTCTCGTTAGCATGCCGCTAAGAATTCGTTGGATCTCTTCTCACTGGGACCACCAACCTGATTCAAGTCTGTGAATTCTGAATGTTTGCTGTTCATTGTGTGAAACAACACAAAAGTCATTTGTTAATTGAGTGACCTCTGATTCCAGTATAAAACAGATTTAAAATCCACTTCTTCATCATTCTGTAAACTTCTACCATGTCCCTTCTACCATTGTCTTTTTTTTAAAAGCAAAAACATATTTTAGCCATTTTTGTAGGAATGTTTGTAGAGTTGTAAATAGTATTTATATAGCCATCTTGAGTCCTCTCATTGGGAGAAAGGTGGCCAACAAATTACACTAAATAAATAAAATAAATAAATGTTTCAAATCTATTAAAGTTAATTTTATTGCACCCTGACCTGAGATCTTAGGATACAGGATGGGAGAGAAACATTCCTAACAATAAATAAATATTTAAGTGCTTTTTGATGATTTCTGTTTACCTTTCCTAGACCTGTGATATCCGTTCCAAGTCAGAGTGACCAAAAAAGTAAACAAATTTTCAAATTCAACAGAACCACAGCTTTTTATCAGGATGCTCAAACTTTCCAAGAATTGATGGTCACATTCACTGTCAGCTGATTTGCTAAGCTTACTATGGGAAGGAATGGCTAGAACCATTTCACCAACCATGAACAGGATAAATGCTTTCTCACCATCATTACTGCCATGGAAGTAATGTTGGCAGAGGAAATGCAAAAAGCTCCTCTTCTTTCTATCTGCCTCTGCAGTTTTGATCAAGGCCTACTGCTTCCTTACTGTACTGAAGACTTGGAATGCTCCGCTTAAGGATCTCTGATTGAGGGAGAGGCTGTCTTCTTTTTTTCCTCCTGTGAGTCTCATTAGGATCAGACATGGATTGCTCCAAATTACCTCATCTAGTTACACTCTTAGTTTCAAAGATGGCACTTCTATGTTTCAATTTTATGTCAACATTTAAAGGATAATGCTTAAAACATCACTCAAACAATAAACGGTAAGCACGACATTTTATGAGTAAAAGGAAATCTATTACTATTCTTTTTTCAAAATCTTTCCTAAAACTAGTTATTATTCTGAAAGCCCCCTGACATCTTAATGTCAAGGAATAAGGGAGAAACAAAAGGGTAACAAATCACTGAATAATCTCTTTATGCTCCCCTTTGGCAGTTTACAATAAATCTTTACTATAGTCAGCTTAAAAATCACAATGAATGGGCCTCAGATGTTCAAATTAATGAACACCTTCAATGTGTTCTGCATCTTTTATTAATCTCAGCTTGAAGGATAAACCCATTTAGCTGTGGATGAGCTATGGACTAGCCATTGAAACATCAGTAAAACTAGCAGAAGGCTGTTCGTATATTGATATATGCTTAAAGACCTGTCACAGTCTCATGAAAGAGCAAAAGCAAGGTTAGCTGAGTGCAAGAGGTAACACAATGCGCTAAAGCATGCAGCCTTAATGAGGTATATGGAAAGGAGAGTCTGCTCCTGGGGTACAGCAAAGTCAAAATAATATTATTAATTCCTGGGCCATCTCTATTACATATGCAAAATGAAATACAAAGCCCCACCTTGGCTTCCATAGCTGTTATCCATCCCAGAGCCATCCCATGATTCTACAGCACTGTCCACGCTTGGCACAGTAGTGGAATATATTTCTGAAAGTTTGCCTGGTTTCTGTGAGCTAGCTGTATCCTCTTCAGTGTCACTTAATTCATTCAGGTGACCAGAGGCAGAAAACTTCTTGGGACTTGATGCTGATCAAAATTATATGGCAGAAAAAACAAATTAAATCAGATATAAATGCCACTTCATTTGCATAGAAGAATATTGTGACAGCTTAGACAAGCAGGCAACACAGAGATATTTATTTGTGACAGAAACAACATTCTCCTTTACAGTACCATGGCAACAGGGCTGATGGAGTACCATTATCTTGATTTTTATACAGATACATCACAACAGCAGTAGTCATCCTTCCAGAGGTTAGTTTGATCAGAGATCAAAGCAGGCACAAACAATGAACACATATTTGTACAAAACGTAATGCTTAACACTGCCAGAAACTGCTCTTCTGAACTAATGAACACATCTATGTATCCATAAGTTGTGGATGACCAATGCTTGCCTAATTTGGGTCATAAAGGAATTAGTTTTATGAAACAGCTGTACTTTCTTGAATATAAAACATAACACTAGAGGAGTTGGCAAATGCTGTATAGTCTTGCAGAAGAAATACAATGTTTCATTGTAGATCACTTTCATTTTCTCTGACAACACATCCTTGAGAGATACCTACTGATTTCTCTTTGGAGGACATCCACAAGAATCAACATGCTTCCCAATATTTTGTGCCAATGGTGAACTTCACTAAACTAAATTATATCTAAGTTATTTAAATTGAAGCCATTTGCTTCCCATCCTGCCCTTGATGGATGTTGGAAGCAGATCTATTTCCCTCTCAAAAAGGAAAATATTAGAGAAGAAAAAGGATAGCAGGAGAGGGAGACAGAATGGATTATGGTGAGTGAAATCAGAAAGACCAGCAGTCTGGACAATCAGATGACAAAAGACACAGGTGGTAAAGTCTGGCTATCAAAATAGGCAACAGAGAGGTGAACAGGGATCATGGCTTCATTTTTTTTTTTTTTAAAAAGGAACATCTTCATGTTCTTCACTAGATGACTGCATATTCTTGTTCTTCAAATTAACATTACAGCTCTTTCAAATACTTGCTAAGTTCTGGTGTGGGATGATTCCATGGTAATATATACCATTCTATAACCTTGCCTTTATCTTCCCGTAAAGATACCTGAGGACAGTCCAATTGATCGTCTCTAATTTTACCCTAGTTAGTTATGGGCCATCAAGTCAGAACTGACTTATAGTGATCCCAACAAGGCTTTCAAGGTAAGTGGGATATTTAAGGAATGGCTTTACCAGATCCACTCCCCTAGTGAGTTCCCATGGCCGAGTGGAGATTCAGACCCTTGTCTCATGAGTCCTAGCCCATCACTCTATCCAGCTGATCACACTGGGTTCCCATTCTTACCCTAAATATGTTTATTGTAAGTTTGAACAAAACAGGGTAGGCTACTATAGAGCTTTGTTAGTCTGACTTATCTAGTGACCTACCTGCAGGGGGCAGGGCCTTGTGCAGCCCCCTCCAACAATATATCACATTTTTCTGCTTTGTGGCATCATTTTAAAGGTTTAAACTGCCAGTATATTTCATCCTCACATTTCCTGTGGGGAAGGGGGGGCTGAACATGTGTTGTTTCTTTGGTCAAAAATCCATGCCTTTGAAATTGTTTGTTGTCACAACGTCTTTTCCAGATACACTTCATATATTCCACAGCAGTCCAGGAATGTGCCATGGCTATTTCCCATATTTTGAATATGATGCTAGTACTGTACGTCAAAAATAGAATTTGCTTTTTGTGCAATTCCAGAACACGGCTTAATTCCTCACTGAAAGAGCTTTTACCTAACCATTTGGCTCCACTCCTACATCTGGGCATTTGTTTCCACATTCCTGTACATACATTTGATATAGGCCAAATGTCATTTCCATGAACATATGCATTTATACATTGCTGATGGCAGACAAAGGGCCTCCATGTAATACCTGCCATACTCACCATCTGTCTGCTTTTTTATCTTCAAGGTGACTGTCTCTCCTGCCATCTGTAACAAATGTATGGCTTCACTCAAAGGTTTTCCTTTCAGGCTGCTACTATTTATTGCTAAGATTCGGTCTCCGATATGAATTGCACCTGTCCTGGAACATGAGTTAAGTAAAACATGAAAAGTTCAGTGAAAAAGAAAACGGAGCCAAACGTTGAACTTAGGTAAGTAAAAATGTCTTCTGTTTTTCCTTTTTCCCAGTTAATCTAGAATATAAAATCAATGGCAATTGTTTTAATGTTATTGCTACTAAGGCTGTGTGCATTCGGTTCTTTTTGGTTCTAAGCTACTAATACAGTGTTATCTGCCAACAAAAAACCCTGCTTCTTTCAGAGTGGCACCACGGGTGGGAGTTGTACACTTAGCAGCATTTTGTAAATTTCCTTGTTCATATATCTACATACTTCAGGCTCTTTCACATCACCCAAATATGCTGCCTAGGGTGGCTGCCTTCCTCTGTCTTAATGGTAAGGATATACGCATGCACAAGCAATAACATCCAGGCACCCACACACCCAGGTTGTTTTATCAGTACTGCTATATTACAAGAAAATATTCTTAGAAACAGTGAATTAGTGGGATTTCATTCCAGAATAATTAACTAGCTGCCAATCACATGATTGGTTCAAGTGAGCAACCATGTGCTTGGCAGGTGACCAGGCATTTGTCACCCTAACCTAAACAATTTTACTTACTCTGGAGTAAAATTCCACTAGGATTCTGACCAATATCACCAGTGACTAAGGAACCGAAAACATGCTCAAATGATTTGTGATAACAACAGTCTTTGCAAAATTATATTCTAGATTTACCAACAGACTGGTAATGTATAAACCAATAGAAAAAGCTTGATGATCATTAAGTATTTCATTTATGATGTATCATGGGAACATTATTACATGACTGAATGAATTGTTATGCACGAATGAATACAGCAAATACCAAAACTGTGAATATAATAGTTTCAATTTACCTTTCAGCTAGACCGCCTTTAGTAAGGCTTGAAATGATAATGGGATCAAAGGGCTCTTCAGTACCAGAAATAGTGATCCCAAGAGGTCCTCCATACCGCTTGAGCTCGACAGTATAAATAATTGCTCCTGAGCTCTCTTGTTCATCTGCAATACATGCCAAGAGGATGCAATTGGTCTCTTATGAAAGAAGGAATGAAAAGAACAATACATTCAGAAAAAAATAGTCAGAAATCAGAGTGTTCATCCTCACAATGCTATGGTTCAGATACATATCTTAGTCACTCCTTTTTTCTAATTTGAAATTGACATCTGACTTCATTGGCAATGACAGCAAATCTTCTCATTCATTGAAACAAAACCAGGATTTGCAAAATGAGGTCAGGATATCACTTTACTTTGATGTACTTTCCTACAGCAATACAACTGTGAAGCAAAATCATGGTGCTACATCACCCTACGTTATTTTCTGATGTCTTTCGAATAGACTTTAAAACAGTGACTAACTAGAAACTCTAGACTCTGAAAATATTTCTCAATGTGTAAATTACCATGGTCTCTTGAACATTTCTAAACGGGTAGCTTTTTGTAGCTTCCTCATCATATTGCTGAAGGTCAGTCATCTGTATGGATAACCATGGTGATGTACAGTGAATAAATAATCAGCAATTGTTTGCTTTTAAACAGGAGGAAACAGAGATAAGCATGGAGCTACTCAGAATCTATTAGTCAACCAGAGAAAATAACTTGGGCCAGAATCCTCTGGACACAAGCTGTCTTCAGTTGATTGTTCTTCACACCGTCAGTCACCTGACTGGCTATTCACCAGATTTTACATTGCCAGTCATGAGAAGGACAATCTACTGGGTAGGAAGGTCAAGATGGTTATCATAATTCCTCTTCTATTCTGAATTTACTCAACAAGATTTGAGCTAAACAGGATGTTTAAACAGTATCTTATTTATAATATTGTAAATATTTATGTGTTCAATTTATATTCAGCCTCTCTAACTAACACTTCTAAAACAGGTTGGTAGCAATAAATAGTACAATAAAACACAACGATAAAATAGAAACTTTTATCTTTTTTTAAAAAAGTAAAACCAAGTCAGTCAAAAATAAATCTAATCAGGATAGAAAACCAGCCTCCATCTTATGTACAATCCATCTTATGAGTCTAAGTAAATTTTTCTTCAACAGTCAGTGGGGTATTTTATTCAGGTGAGGTTAGCTGGGTCTCTAGCAAGGAGTTCTAAAGTCTAGGAGCTATGAACTAGCAGGCCCTCTCTTGAGCTTCTTACTAGATGAGGGTGAGTTGTTAGCAGAAGATAAAATAATGGTCTCTCCAGATAATCTTAAAGCCTGATTAGAGATGGGCATGAATTAAAAAAATAATCACCAATTTCATTCAAAAATTGTTAATTCGTTGACTCATATTGGTACAAATCCATGCCCATGACAAATCACAAATCAATGATTTTTTTTCATCAATTCATTTGGCTATAAAATGGCCCCCAAGGCACCTAGATTCACCAAGATTGCAGGAAAGCTTCCTCGGACTCTCCTCTACAATCCCTCAAAGTTTGGTGAAGACTGGGTTTTCCCAAGCCAGATGTTAAATGACATTTTCTTGGGGGGGGACCCACTCTGTGGGTGTATAACACGGATGTCTGAAAACCAATCTTCACCAAACTTGGAGGGATTGTAGAGGAGAATCAATAGAAGCTTCTCTGTGATTCTAGTGTCTCTAGGTGCCTGGGGAAGACTTTCCTGGGGGGTCCTCCTTGTGGGTATAACTTGGACGTCGGAAACCCTAATTTCACCAACTTGTTGGGGTTGTAGTACAGAGTCAGGGGAAGTGTCTCGGTAATTGTAACATCTCTAGGTCCTTTGAGGGGGCATTTTATAGGGATTTAAAGTAAAAAAATTGACAACTTGATTTATTGATTCATCAGAAAAAACCAAATTCACAGTTTGTGATTTGTTGACTTTGATGAATCATAAATCAAAACAAATCACCATTTTTCTGATGTGTGTCCATCTGTAAGCCTGATCAAACCTTGCACAGAAAAAGCTGGTCTTCTGGATAACCTGATCCAAAGTTGGGTACATTTTTCTAGGTCATAGTCCAGCATTTTAAATTATTTCCCAAAACATACAGATAGCCAATGAAACCTTTGTGTTTCTTATAGCTAGCTATAGTCAACACAGTATACCAATAACAAACTGTGAAACTGGAATCAGCCAGCAACAATTTCTGAATATACTTCTTTAATAATAACTAGAATCATTGTAAAACAGTGGCTGAAATCCTGTTGCACAACTCTACCTGGCATAAATAATAATAATGTCATCACCCAGGAATGTTAACCTTTAATTTAAAACTTCTTATTCCACACCTGAGTTCCTAAAGCTCTTTAGGGATCCATTTTACCCTTGGAAAGCCTTTGGGAGCCTCAGGATGGAGCAGGAGGAATCTTAAAGATCTATCTCCATGTGAGTGGACCTAGTCATATGAAGTTTCATCATTCATTTAATCATCATCTAGGCAAGAACTGCATAGTAACACAGACCTGTACACCTGTACACCACATGGTACACCTGTATACCACATAGTCTTGGTGTCTTCAAACATATATATTTCTGCATAGAAATATAATAAGATGAATGTGGTTGTCCCATCAAGCATATCTGGATTAATATAACTTGGTTGAAAAATAAAAGGAACGTGTTAGTTGGGGTCTACTATTAACCTCCCAATCAAGGAGAAGATATGGATGAAAGCTTTGAAAAATAACTTGCAAGAATTTCAAAGAGACACAATTTAGTAATAATGAGAGACTTCAATTATCCTGATAGCTGTTGGGAGTTATGCCAAATATTAAGATGGCTGGGAATGTCTAAAAATGTATATTCTAAAGGCACAACTACAAAAAATTCCAAGAGGGGAAAAAAGGGAATACAGCAAAAAGGCCAATGTGGTTTCAAAAAAAGCTCAAAGAGGACCTAAAAACAAAAAAGGACACATAAGGGAAGTGGAAGGAAGGCCAGACCGTAAAAGAAAACTACAGATAGGTACTCAGTCTACTTGCAGGAGGCACAGTGGAGATTCAAACTCCATACTTAAACCACTGAGCTATCCAGCCAGCACAGTTTCACTGTAGACAGTGAAAAATCAACTTCAGTTTCTTTCTTTCTTTCTTTTTGTGGGGAGTGGTTCAAAATTCACTTGAGACTGTTTTGTGGGCAGAAATGACTAATTCTGAAACTCCTCTGTGTGTACTTGTTTAAAGTGAATATGATGGTAATGACTATGGTGGCATTTCTAATACAGGACTAAGTTTAACCAGTGCTCAGTCTAGCTCCATATGTACATGGCTCTAGCTGCAGGAATGGATACCCAGCACATAAGGCTCAAATTCTTTCATGTGCGGCCTAGTCTTGGTGCTCATGGTCCATGACTGGTTATTAAGTGCCAGATCAAAACCCCAGGATATGATATCACAGAGCAGAAATATGGTAGGGCACAGCTTTTATAATTTATATTCTTATAACAATTTGCGCAGTGTTTTCTTTCAGTTTCATTGAACAAAGATTCATTATACTGGTTTTATTTTTCCAAATATAGTTTATAACATCAGTTTATGGGGTAGTAATTTACTGGATGGCTTTCATTAATATAAATGATACAGACACATCCATTTATGATTATTTTGATGCGTTAGTGTACCCAGATTTAAATAGGAACATTCACACTTAATAAATGGAGTGCATCTTGAAGATTTTAACTGTAAACCATGTAAGTAACACTGCTAAAATAGACTTTAATCTATGTAACATATTAATTTAGCAGTAGAATTAAAAAGCTGATAATTACACTAAAAGATACATTATCAGGTCTTTTAATCATTGGCAGGCCATGTATGCTCCTTCTGCACAATCAAAGATTTGGATGGCTCATAATACTTACTAAACTGGAAAGAAATGAAGAGATGAAGAGTCATGAAATCGTGCAACATGGACGTTAATAAATGCTGACTTCTAGTGCTGTTATGAATTTGCCTTTTAGGCAGAAAACCACTTGAAAAGAAAAGAAAAAGTCTTCACAGCTTTCTGCATAACAGCCTGCTTCCAGGCAACAACATTTTAATTTGAGAGACACTGAATCTTAATATGTATAAAAACATTATTACCGGGTTTCCAACTGCACCATAATTGTACAAAAGGGATCCCTTATTTAGCCAACAGAACTGCAGGTTCTGAATGCCTAAGAAGTATTGCTTTCTCTTTTTTTAAAAAAAGTTTTGGATTATCCTAAATCTTGTTAAAGGGAATTGATATTGACCATGGAAACAAACAAACAAACAAAAAGCCCTGGCCAAACTCCTATTGCATAACTATGCATGCAATCCGGAAGCACTTCCACTGGTGCACTGCACAACTGGTCTTGCTAGGGATGCCCAACTGATTGTGCAATTCCATTGTGGAATCCTTAGTGCTACTAGATAGTTCTGCTGTGTAAGCACAATGGCATAAATTACGGTGATGAATTGCTGCTAGCTTACAAGTTTTGCTGTTTGCATCCTTTTCCACACACCAACCCATGAGGCTGATCAAGGAATAAATAAGGAATAAAACTGGTGATGGTTAACTAGTGGCAATTTGCCATGGCAATTCACCCCATTGCAAGAGGACTCTGGCCAGTGTTTACCTTTAAATGATATTAATAAACAGGGTACTTATCTCTGAACTAGGCAAATTATAGCTGAATGTATAATTACACTGGAAATGAACATAAAATATTGTTAAACTAGCTCACTGTGAATACCAGAGTTATCTTCATCTTTCCGAATTTTTAGCTTCACAAGTTCCTCACAATGCTGCAGGATTTGAACAGCATCTTCCATGGAACAGTTGTCCAGTCGAATATTGTCTATGGCAAGCAATTTATCTCCCAGTTCTAATGTTCCAGTTCTGTTAACAAATGGGATAAATTACATGATTAATGACTTGAACATGTTGCCTATATTGCTATTTACTCAAATGATTTTATTTATTTTTGTCGTATAACTGTAAAGGAGTACATTACTATAGTGGGAGAATTCACTTAACTTAGAAATGTAAACCATTTCAAATCCAAAGCGTATTAGAATAACCAACAGATTAACTTTTTTTGGTCAACCTGAAAGCACTTACCTGTGAGCAACACTTCCTTTCTTAATATCTGAAATAACAAGAGGGTCCCCTGGTTTTCGACTAGATGGAGCTGAAATACACAATACATAAATACATAGTTACAAACTGAAAATAAATTTCAGTAGCTATATGTAGCATATATCTACCCTGGTAGTGTTATAACATGGAAAGGATTCTGACTTACAAGTAGAATTTCAACGGTTTTAAAAGTTCATGTGTATATATGATGAACCAGTACAGTGGTGCCCCGCTAGACGGTGCCCCGTCGAAATCGCTTGACGTTGACATTTTTGCGATCGCTATTAATATATGATGAACCAGTACAGTGGTGCCCCACTAGACGTCGAAATCGCTTGACATTGACCTTTTTGCGATCGCTATTGCAATTGCAAAACGATGGTTCCAATGGGGTTTTTTCACTTGAGTCGATTAGGAGCCTGCTTCGCAAACTGTTTGTTTGCAAAACTATGTTTTTTCCTGCTCCGCAAAATGGCTTCCCACCGCAAAATGGCTTCCCTCCCTTCTCAAAATGGCTGCTTTCCGGAAGGAATTGTCGCATTACAGCGATTTAGAACAGCTGATTGGCAGTTCTCTATGGCCAATCTTTGCTGGATGATGAGGTATTTCCCCCATTGGAACGCACTGACCGGTTTTCAATGGGGATTTTTTCCGCTTGACAACGATTTTGCTTAACAGCAATTTTGCTGGAATGCATTATCGTTGTCAAGCAGGGCACCACTGTACTAGTGTTCCAGTCTAAAATTATCGTCGTCAAGCAGGGCGCCACTGTACTAGTGTTCCAGTCTAAGAGCTGGAACAGGTGCTCTCTCTCAAGTATTAAAAGATGGACGCTTCTCCTAGCACATGATTTTCTTCATCTACACATCTTGCATTTAGCAAGCTTTGTTTTGCAATTGGCCCCTAGTTCATAATAAACATGAACTTCATTTCTACGTCAGATTACTAAGGAAATCTTATTGTGGGAAGGAAAACAGATCAGCAAATGGTCTAAGAACAGAGAATATACATTTCCCTTAACAGCTATGTTAAGTCAAGTAGGTAAAACAGAGCAAGTAAGTGTCAAACTAGACTTGGGAAAAAGAGAAGGTTGAAATCCAGGGATTTCAATTTTATTTATTTATTATTGGATTTTTATCCCGCCCTTCTAGACAGAAGTCTACTCAGGGTGGCTCACAATATATTGTGCATAAACAAGTTAAAAACAATAATTAAAATTTACAATAATACTATAATCAAGATGGGAATAAACAGCAAAACCAAGAAAAGTAAGAAAAGTTTTCCTGAGTCTGTTTTTTAAGGACTATCTTCAAAGCATTTGCAAAATGTCACCAAAAAAAAGAGGAACTGCTTCAGGCAGCAACAGAAAGACTCAGAAGTAACACAAACGGCAAAAATTAAAATAGCAGCCTTTATTTGCAAAGCTTATCTTATCTCAGCTGGACAAATGAATTGAGTGCCAAATATAGAATTCTTACCAGAATCACAATAGAGCAAAGTATAATTTATTTTTTAAATAAATAGGAAGTGAACGGTCTTTGGTCCTTTTCCCAACTGTGCCATATTAAATATCTGCATTTTAATCTTTACTAATATCCGCTGTCGGTAGCTCTTTTGCTGACAGGCCTAAGCCTGTGATTTCCTTCCATATTTTAATCCTTACTCACACATACTGCACTATGGTTGTAAAAAGAAAGATATATAACTATCACTGAATTTCATTTATTATAAAGTGACTCAGTACTGCTCCAGATAGCAGTGCTACAACACATTGTTCTGTCTCCATGTTTATTGCTTGATGACTGAAGTTCATCGGACTTACTGTGAATTGTGTCCTGATACCAGATTCTGTATTACTGTGATGCTAAATAATGTTGCAGTACTCACTCTTCACATATGTGGATAATGGTTTGCTGAGTCTTGTCCTCATCATGCCCCCATGTTCGCTCCATCCTTTGCTTTTTCTGCCATGTTCTGTTTCCTTCCCACCATTTCTATGGGCTTCTTCTTTGGTGCTTTTTAAAACTAAGTAATGCATGTCTTGTTCATTTCTTATATTTGTTTTTGTTTCACCACTGCTCTTGTAAGCTACTTTCCCCCACAACTATTAATTATTTAATGCTAAAGTTCTTCAGTGTTATACTTGCACCTTGATGATGTATGGTCTCACAAACTTTGTAAGCCAACCACACAAGTGTCCAACAAAAATTGATGGTCAACTACTGTCATGTTGACATGTAGCCCTCTTGCCATTTCTTCCCACTGTTTACAATGTTTTAATATTCCTGAAATGTTTTGCAAGCACCAAGAGAAAATAATCACAATGCAGACCTTTTTCTTATTTTGTGTGCTACTTCTTGACATATGTCAAAACAGGCAAGCATTGATTGTGGAGAAACATTATTCTCTCAATGAAGAAATTAAACTCAAAGTCACACAGAGCCACACTCTGGTAGAAAGAAGGGGACGAAGTGGAAGAATGCAGGCAAACTGGAAAAGGAGAAGTATGATGGAAGGTAGAGACAGCTTATTTTCACACCAGATGCAATTCCCTATTTCTCCAAATACCCACACATCAGTAGGAAGGACCAATCTGTTATGCAGATGCATACCAGCAAAAAGTGATGTGGAATTTATCAATACAGCTTTCCACTCATCCCAGTATTTGGAGGGGGGGGGGAAGAATAGGAATATGTGAAGGAATGTGTCCTGTAGAAAGTGAGATGAGAGTAAAACAGTTTGGACATTAAGGAATGCTAATAACCTTGACTTGGACATTAGATGAGAAGAAATGCTCAAAGAGCCCTTAGTTTTGGATTCTAGATCAGACCTTTAGCTAGTTTTATTTTGTTAGCTGTCAAAAGCTGAAAGAAAGCAAAATATGGTGCAAAAGATTTCCAGAATTTTCTAAACATCCACACTAATTATAATCAAGTATAATAAAGTAAATATGACAAAAATCTTACTTACAGCTTATGGTAATGCCAAGCTCCACATTATGCTTCTTTGGTAGTTTTACATGAAATGTTCCACTACTTGGTATGACTGATTCTGTAATTAAAAGTTGTTTCATTTATAGCAAACGCCAGTTCATCATTCACACCTTGCCCATTCATTAAAAGTAATATACAAAGTCTCAGTCAAGGAACTCAAAAGCACATTTTGCATACTTTATGTTAGCAATTTAAAATCTAAGTTTTGTAAATTGCATGCCATTACTCTTCAAAGGGACAGACATAAAAACAAAAGTTGAAGTCTGAATGTGTAACTTAAAACTGTCATCAAAAACTGGATATGAATGTTGTGTGAACTGGAATACAGTTCTTGTTGATGCAAACACACCTGCATGTGTACAAATGGATCTGTCCAAGACAACAAAGCTGTCCTCCCTCTCTTTTTCATTGTGTGTCCAACTCAGTGCAACCCTTACTCTCTAGAAAAGAAAGCTACTTTGATTTCCCCATCCAATGTATTGCCCTTGTGTTTCAGCAAATGAGTGATCAATTCTAATGCATTTGTACCAGGATTGGAGCTCACTTTCCGGGAGTTTTCTTATAAGACACCGGGTGGGAATAGGTCCCAAGTTTTGAAACAAAAATCCCAATTGACATGTTGCAAAATTTACACTTTGGTCTTTAGATACTGTCCTTATAAAGTGCCAACTTAAGTAACACATGGTGTTTCTAACACACAACTGGCAATTAATGATTTTCCCTAAATCTGATATACATTGCACTTTGGGTAATTCCAGTGTATATGCAAGAAGAGTAATTTCACAACTTATAGAATACAGTATTAGTCATTTCTGGATGAGTTCTGAAAGATTCAGTACAAATACAAGGTTGCAAAAAAAGATTCATGATAGTAAGAAAATACTGACAGAGCAAGGTTAGGGGCTGTGCATATAAATAGCAAGTTCAGATTCAAAAGCAAACGGTTTGAATTCACAGCATGTTAGAAAGATAAGAATAGTTGAGGATTCTTACCTGCTACATCAAATTCTATTTCCAAAGTGACCTTGCTGGTGATAGATGAGTCTCTGAGTAGCTGATTAGCTTCATCAAATGTGCTATCTTCTGTTGGGATCCCATTTATGGCCAGTACTCTATCTCCTATTTGTAGGATGCCACACCTTATACACAGTGCAAAACAAATGAGCCATCAGATCCATATAAGTCCAAAAAGAATAAATTTAAAAATCTAATTCAGTCTTTACAGGAGATTCAAGACACTTAACAGTCTTTGCATTATAAACCAGTTATGATGCTAAAACTTTGTAATATAGATTTAATTCTATTCTGCATGAAATCATATTGCTCCCAACTATTTGATATAGCCATCATGATGGCAGAAGGTGAGGAGGAATTAAGGAACCTTGTAATGAGGGTGAAAGAGGAGAGTGCAAAAAACGGTCTGAATCTCAACATAAAAAAAACCTAAGATCATGGCCACTGGTCTCCTGGCAAATAGAAGGGGAAGATATGGAGGCAGTGACAGATTCTACTTTCTTGGGCTCCATGATCACTGCAGATGTAGACAGCAGCCCCGAAATGAAAAGACACCTGCTTCTTGGGAGGAAAGCGATGACAAACCTCGATAGCATCTTAAAAAGCAGAGACATCACCTTGCCAACAAAAGCCCACATAGTCAAAGCTATGGTTTTTCCAGTAGTGATGTATGGAAGTGAGAGATCGACCATAAAGAAAGCTAACCGCCGAAGAATTGATGCCTTTGAATTGTTGATCTGGAGGAGGCTCTTGAGAGTCCCCTGGACTGCAAGGAGAACAAACCTATCCATTCTAAAGGAAATCAACCCTGAGTGCTCACTGGAAGGACATCCATAAATGTTTTCTAATTAATATAGTCCACAATTGCTCATCAGAGGCAATCATCTAGATAAAGACACTGGTGCAAGCTACCCTTCTCATGCCCTATCAAAGATTTTAAAAGCCTAGTATCATAAAGAGAAAATTTAAAATATACTACATTTTTTCACTGAGCAATGTTCAGTAGTTTAAGAGAAACTTGAAAATAACTAACCAAGAGCAACCAAAGATAAGTTCTTAGAAATAAACAATTAGGAGCAATAATCTTAAAGAAATGGTTGTTGTGGGTTTTTCGGGCTCTTTGGCTGTGTTCTGAAGGTTGTTCTTCCTAACGTTTTGCCGGCCACAAAGACTGGTGAAACGTTAGAAGAACAACCTTCAGAACATGGCCAAAGAGCCTGAAAAACCCACAACAACCATTAGATCCCAGCCATGAAAGCCATCGTGAATACAAATCTTAAAGAAACTCACCTTTCTGCTGGGCTGTCAGCCTCAATATAGGAAATCAGGGGCGGAGATGACAAGGTCTCAGTAGCAAACACACTGCCCTGAAGCTGTATCCCAAAGCCCACAATGGGGTCAGCTGTCAGCACTACTTCTGTTGTTTCTGTGTGGACAACCTGCCCAGCCAGGCCAACAGTGCTAGAGGCTAGTGACACTGTAAAGCACATCCAACCAGAAGCAATGACATTCAAAATCAGATAGCAGAAATTAACTAATTTTGTCAATATACCATGTGTAATGAAGTGTAACAAACATTAAATGTTATGTTAACACTCTTAAGATTGAAGGCCAGCAGGTATTTAAACAACCACATAAAGATTTGAACAGATAACTAAAAACCTGTTAATATCATAATTTTTGATATTTTGATATTGCTTAGATATCCAATTATTGTGTAAAACGTCAATCCTTAGTCAGTCAAGGCTTGGATGTACCAGCTTGGGCTACCTGATCCTTCTAATGTATTTCCAAAAGGAGCAGAAATAGTTCTCACTGAGAATGGACCCATCACTCATTTTATAAGCAACTCACAAGGCAGCAGCCATTGATGACTACTGAAGCTTCTGCTTCATGAAGCTTTCAGTCATTCCTAAAGTGTAGCTTTCTCTAAACAATGTTAGATTATTGTTCCCATCATCCAAGCACCATGACAGCTGACCATCCTAGCTGGTGAGATGGGAATTCTAGTCCAACACCTCTGGAGGGCAGATAGTTGGAGACAGCAACTACAATGACTTCTACAGAATAATGGAGATGCTACAGCATATAGTGAATTCTACAGAAATCAAATTGCAACATTATCTACCTCCTGAGAAACCTAGCAGAAAGAGTAATTGTTTTATAATGCCTTCATTAGCCTTTGTGTAAGTTCCATAAATGCTTGCCTGTTGGTATCATTCTTTGGTATTTACTTGTGCTCTCTGTGTTTGTGTGTGTATATGTGCACATGCATGCTATCTCTCTCTCTCTCTCTCTCTCTGTAAATATATATATATTTTCTGGAAAAAATAAAAGCCTTTTAAGCCCTTAAACACTATCCATTTACTAAAAAATCTGTATGCATATTGACCAAAAGCCTACTACTTACATACACTGGTATATTATAATTGTCAGTGGTGAATTACTACCAGTTAGGGAGTCAATGCTTCTATTTCTTGTCACACACCTAACACATGACCTCATACATGATGAGGAATAGAAGCATTGACTTCTTATGTAGCCAGAAATTATCAGTGAGATTCATACCATTTGACTTATGCTGGCATATGTAAATAATAGGATTCTGACCAACAGAAACTAAAAATGTGCTGGTAAGTTGGTGATCCTAACATTGATGACTGAGAGTTGTTCTGCAGACTTGGGAAATGGGAATTATGATGTGGGAAGTGGAAATGATGATGACAACTGGCTTGCATGACATAAAACTGTGCATGGGGATCTTGGCTAATATATTGCTACAAGAAATAATTAGATGCAATCAGCTAGCTCAGTGAGTTGGAGATATGGATGCAGAGCCAGAGTTCAATTCCAGACAATACATTCCAGGAGAAGATCCAGACTGCGTAGTCTTGGACAAACTGCAGAATCCAAGAGCACCCTCAGAAGGAGGCAATAGTTAACCACTACTGAGTACTCTAGACCTAGAAAAACCTGGAAAAGGTTGTCATACATCAGAATTTAGAGCACATAATTGTTAATATATTATTTTGAGGGTGATCTGGTTTTGAACAGGCAAGTAAGAGCCAACAGTTCTACAAAAGATGTGCTTCCCTCTCTCTCTCTCTCTCTCTCTCTCGATATGGACCAATTTGGCTACCTGGATTTTTGGACTGTCCTGATTGCAGGGCTAGCTGTGGAGCTTGTTGTTCTGAGCACCCTACAATTGCAAAGTTATCACTACTTTTCCAGATATATAAAATTGCATCCAATCATTTAACTCAAGGGTAGAGAAAGTTCAGTGTCAAGAGATCATTTTCCAGACCCCAAGACCCACTGGGAACTATACCAACATCTCCAAATCAACCTACTTCTAATTTCTTTAAGATGAATCTTGAAAAAACAGAACAGAACTTTGAGAATACATAGAACTTTCCATACTTTTTAAAATGGAAAACTGCTGTTCCCGAAATTATGATGCCTACAGAGGGATTTTTTTAAAGTGTGTGTGTGTAGGTATCTGGAGATAACAAAAAGAGCTGGGGAGGTGTACCTAATTCCCATAGATAATTAACCAAATGAAGATGAACATGTAGAAGTATTTCTACTTTAACAAAATTAGTAGCTGCCACATAATAGTCTATAACAGCCAGGATCCAATGTTGTTCCTTTACTAGATTCCGTTGCTTCCATCTGAATAGATGATTTCCCTCCCTCTGGAAGGCCACTGTGCAACCCTAAAAACCTGCTGTGGGTGACTGGAAGCACGCAGAGCCACTTTTTAGTTCTACAGAGAGCTGCAGAAGAGATGGAGGGAAGACAGCTTTCACTCTGTCAACCCTGTGTATTGAAACTTACGCCAACAGACACAAGATTTGTAAATCCTGATGTTCAAGCATGCACAGAATAACTCAAGATATCTACTTTAATGTTTACATGGTTCATTGTACAAGCACTGCGGTAAGGTAAATGTGTGTGTGTGTGTTTGTATGAGCCCATTGCCCAAAGTCAGAGGCAAGTAACAATGCTGTTCTCCCTGAAGCAGACACTTCAACCATTAAAAATCAAGGGAAGAATACATATAAGAAAACAAAGCAAAAAATCAAGTGTAATAAACAGTATGTGATAGTGTGGGGTATCTTTAAGTTTTATGGCTGTGTGTTTAGAAAAAAAAACCTGCATAACTAATGCAGTCACTGCAAAACTTCTGTTAATAAAATGTTTATGGTTCCCTGCGCCAGCACAGTTTACTGCCAGGCATTTGGGAAGATCACATTAGTTATGCAGGCTTTTCCACACAAAGGGCAATGAAAACTTTATTGCACTCTCAGTCATACATATTCTAGACTCTTCCAAGAAAAACAGATTTAGGGTCCTCTTCGTAACTAGTTATTACATCAAACCTTGAATGCATTAGAGAAAGAAAGAAGCTGTGTGCAAACACTACTACTACCGCCATTCCATAAGGGTCTCATGTCCCCAGGATTGCCACTGTTGCAGCAGTGGTGGTTTTCTCAGGATAGCTATTGCTGCTCCTACTGCTATTCTCTAATTTCTCAGACTAGCTCTTGGTTTTGCAGTGGAACCTGCCCTGGCAGCAGAGATTCTTGAATGTCAAAGACTTTCTGCCCATCCCAAGTCCCCCAAAGACTTCCTAAGCACTAAAGAGACCCATTGGGAGCCTCAAAACCTGGGGGTAGGGGTGGGTTGAAACGTTTTAATCAGCTATAAAAGGCATCAGCTGATGATGTCATCAGCCTCACACAGTGTCATTTTACACAACTGGCCTTCAGCCACTGTGAGAAGGTAGCAGATGAAAATGGTGATCTGTTTCAGTTAAGGAGTGGGCTTATAGAGCCAACTGACCCTACTGACCCAAAGCCTATTAGTATCACACAGTGTGAATTGGAAATTGCAGAGCACCCTTTTGTTAGCACTGTGCAGGAAAACGCAATGGTAAAGCACTTCTGAACCTTTATTACCTTGAAAATCCTGAGCTGCTGAAGGTAGGATAACATTAAAGTCCATAACTGACTAAATTGGCTTAAATATGTTTAAACTAAAAATAATAATACTAATGTATCAAGTTTCATGTGATGCTCTCTTTTTCATAATAGGTGACAGTTATACTGATCACTTTGACATCAGAGTTCAAAGACATCAGAGTGCCTTTATTGCCATTTTACAGAAAATCATTCCATCTACAGTCTTAACCATCGTCTGCCACATCTAACTGCTGAATAGGAATGAGTTTTTCCTCATTGAAAGTTGCTAGAAGAATTCCTTAGTAGACTATCACATAATTTCACTTGCAGATGGAATGTTAACACATTTCATTCTGTGGTGTATGTGTATTTTCAAAATATTGCTGCCATGTTAGTGCTAGTTGATTTTTAAAAGATCTTGTTGCCATTTAGCAGTTATCTGAATTTAGCTGAGGCAATAAAAATGAAGCATATAATTGAACACTTCCTTCTGCTCAACTATAACGCACATAAAATAATCCTTAATAATCCCAAACAAACCCAAGTTGCAATGTAGTTCTTGACATGTGTCAGATTTACTAAGCACCACTGAATCAATAGACACATGGTCACCTACATGAGCTTTTGAAGTCCTTCTTTTTCATTCTCCTTCTCATCATTGTTCCTCGTGGGCTGGTGGAGTAGAGGCTGCGAGGTAAAGTTCCCATATTTAAGGAACTCAGACTGTATGCACTCATGGAAGCTGGAGAAAAGGAGGATGATACCAATGCTGCGGAAAGAGAAAGAAACACTTTGGCACAAAGCAAGAGGACTGAAATACATGCCTATTACGGTCTATTAAAATCACAGGACTGTGAGCGTGACTTACAGCAATGGTTTGTGTGCATCCAGTGACAAAATCACAAACTGTACAAACATATAGCAGCATAGTCAGGATTTTCAGAGTTGTGTGAACCAGGCAAAATTCGTATTTGCTAGTACAAAAAGGTAACTTGCAATCCTGTTACATTATTTTCATCAACAGTGTTAAAGCAACTGGCATTCTCATAATAAAAGCAACTGATAGTTGTTCAAATCCATGGCTGTGTTAATTAATTAATGCACACTAGCGTGGTTAGACACACTGAATCAGAAATGCATATTTTTAGAAATGGTGATTTCTGACATATATGTTGCATAGAAAGATTATGTTTTTTTTAAAGGCAATAAACTGGACACTGTCAGGTAGTAGGTTTGGAAGGTTGGATCCCTCAAGAGTTTTCTAACCTCTCCCCTTCTCTACAAAAAGACTTAAGTTAAAGCAGGAAAAATGCATGTCAGAAATAACCTTGCACGGGTGTCAGAAAAAGTGAAAGACTGATAACGTGGAATGGTTTTTAAAGGCTGAAATGGGGAAAAGAGTGAAAGAACAAGAGGATTGTGTGATTTTAATAAAATAATAATAA